TCTAAATTATGGACTATTTTGGCCTTTTTTTTCTTTTTTTTTACATGGGGAAATGCCTACGCATACCCGCCTCGCGGGGGCAAGGACGGGTTATGTCGGACTCGCACCGACTAAAACCCCATGGTGTTCCACCCTCGTCGCATATTGGCAGGGCCACGGGAACGCTTTCGCACACTTCCGCGGCCCCACCTGCGCTGGCCGCCCCATGGCGGCCCCTCCTCGGGAGAGGACCACTCCTCCCCCATCTCCTTCTCAAGTAAGGCGCACCAGAACACATGGCGCGCCCTCCTCCTCGGCCTCCAATTTCCAATACGCAACAGACGCCCCCGCGTCCGATGCGCGAAGGCCATGGGGCCAGGAAAAACTAGCACTCAGAAGCACCGGCCTTCCTGGCCCCAGCGGCGGATCTGGTCTATGGCTCCGCCGCCAACCGAGATTCGGCTGCGGACGGTAGGGAGAGCGGCGCCTCGCAATACCGACACTCCTCTCCCCCCGCAGTCCCACCACCACCGCATCATTAACGGTGCGGCCCCGTCAGAGTCGCGGAGGATAGGGCGAGTGGCGCATCGCCATACCAACACTCCGCTTCCTCCGCGACTCCACCTCGGCTGCAGTGGTAGGGGTGGGGAGGACACCCCTCTCGCAGCAGTCCACCGACACACATCCGAAGTGGGCTCGCCAAGCCCACTTGGAGCGGCCACCTCGGGCCGGCCCTACACCCCGGGCCAGCCAAGGGGTTCCTCTTTGTTCACCGCGGGTGACCAAGCCACGGCTACTAAGCCCCCCCGCCACGACGGGAACACTTTCGGGGGGGGGGGGACTATTTGGCCTAGAGACTCATCGAGGACTTCACAATTTCCGCTTAAATTTGGGGTGGGAAAAATTCCTTACCCAAGTTTTAGCAGTTGTTTTGGGAAATCACTATCTGTGATTCCATGACGATGAGCTCTCATATTCGTCCGTAATTTTAAAGTTTCAATCGAAGTCCATAAGGGAGACGATTTCAAGCATGTTTTGATGATATCTGCTCGCGTACCTCTATTAATGACGGGAAGTGTCTGTCGGAAATCTCCAGCAAGTACAAAAGTAATCCCGACCATGAGAGCAGAAGAGTTTCTAAGATCTTTTAAGGTTCTGTCTACAGCCTCTATATGTGCTCTATGGCTCATGGTGCATTCATCTCATATAATTAATGAGGCGTCTTGTAATAATTTACCAAGAGGCTCATTTTTGCGGATAGAACTAAAAAAATGTCCAGATAGTGAATGATTATTTCTTAAAAGATTTTTTATTGGCTGTGGTGGCTCCTGAATATTAGGGAGACTAACTTTTCCAGAAGCACAGCACATACCATTAGGTTCATCGACCCATTTTTTGGCAGAACACTTAGAGCAGATCGTATTCATGGCTCCGATTTGGACGGAAGACTGTTGAGCATAATCAATATGTGTACCATATCTGAAAGCCGATCTATTACTGTGCGAGATCGATTGCGGACTCTAGTCGTTGACGTCTGTTGTCTTCCTCTTTGATCTCGAAGGCGCTGCGAACGCTCGACACTTGACTCTTGCGCGCGTAGTTGAGAGGTTCTCAAATTTTGTTCAAGAAGCCGCTGAGAACGCTCGACACTCGATTCTCGCGCGCGTACTTGAGAGGTTCTTAAATTTTGTGCCTCAAGCCGCTGAGAACGCTCGACACTCGACTCTCGCGCGCGTTCTTGAGAGTTTCTCAAATTTTGTTCCTCAAGCCGCTGAGAACGCTTGACACTCGACTCTTGCGCGCGTACTTGAAAGGTTCTCAAATTTTGTTCAGCTAGCCGCTGGGAACGCTCGACACTCGACTCTCGAGTACGTACTTGAGAGGTTCTCAAATTTTGTTCAGCAAGCCGCTGCGAACGCTCGATACTCAACTCTCTGGCACGCGATTGCGACGCGTATTCTCTCTGATTTTCAAGACGATTTTCAGTTTCTGATGAAGATTCTCCTTTACGACGTAGTTTTAATGCCCTCGCCTGGGAACTATTTTTGGAAAGTTGAGATCTTGATCGTTTGGGCATTTTTTATTATTTAATCATCAGCAGATAAAAACAAAACTATAAAAAAAATTAAAAGTGCCCTTGTACTAAATTATATGCTAAACAGTTGAACAGGAATTACCTGTATAAAAATGTAATTGAAAAATTATAAGAACTACTAAGTTACTAAGCTGTTTGGATAGTTAAATGTACACAATATTTATTTATTAGTTAGTACCTACTGAATATGACATAGACTCCCCTCCCGCACCCCAGTTACACCCGCAACGCATGGTGCTGGCAGTGTACGCGATATAAGGATTTTCGGCGTTACTATTGATTATTTTAACATGTAAAAGTAGTTATTGTGAAATAACTGTAATAGTTAGACATATGGTATAGCGGACTTTTTTGTAGATATTTATGTCCTCCATAAAACTGTAGCACATAACTTTGCTCTATTGTCAATAGTTTCCGCAGCGTACGCGATATAAGGATTTTTTTTGGTAGTTTTTGCACACCTTGGGTTACATTAACGAAGTTTTCATACGGAATTCCTAAATTTTTTGAAAACATTCTATCGCCTATGTTCATCAGGAATAATGTAGGATTCTAATGGTGAAAGAATTTTTCAAATCGGTTCAGTAGTTACAGAGCCTATTCAATCCAAACAAACAAACAAATCTTTCCTCTTTATAATATTAAATATATAGTGTAGACTATTGATTATTTTAACATGGAAAAGTAGTTATTGTGAGATAACTGTAACAGTTAGACATATGGTATAGCGGACTTTTTTGTAGATATTGATGTCCTTCATAAAACTGTAGCACATAACTTTGCTCTACTGTCAATAGTTTCCGCAGCGTACGCGATATAAGGATTTTTTTGGTATCTTTTGCACACCTTGGGTTACATTAACGAAGTTTTCATACGGATCCCTAAATTTTTTGGAAACATTCTATCGCCTATGTTTATCAGGAATAATGTAGGATTCTAATGGTGAAAGAATTTTTCAAATCGCTTCAGTAGTTTCAGAGCCTATTCAATTCAAACAAACAAACAAACAAACAAATCTTTCCTCTTTATAATATTATATATATATATATATATATATATATATATATAATATATATTAGTGTAGATGTAGATAGTGTAAATGAGAGCGGCTTGTGTTGGTAAACAAATCCGAACTTTTAAGTTTAAAAATAAGTACCTAAATAGCAATAATATGAATAAAAATTACATATAAATATATAAAAGGTAATATTTTTGTAAATTTGACATGGCAAATCTCTTTTTACAGTAAAACAACTGAAAAATTCGGCATTTTTGTAGGACGTCAATATTCAGTCGCGCAACTAGATTTAGATTTAGTGAACAGTGCGGCTGCAACTTGTTTTATTGCACTCATAGAACCGCGTGGACTTAAACCTTGACAAAGGCGAACGCCTGCCTGTGGCTACTCCTCTTCGATCTGCTGATGGCCCAAGTTGTTCTATGAGTTCAACTACAAGAATTTTGAACTTATTTTACCCTATAAACTTGTAACTCAAGATTGTCTCTGATTTATCTTAGCTGTATCTGTAGTGATACTGTACTCGATTATTTTCGTAATCAGTATTCAATTATTGCCATAAACAAATAATAAGCAATAATTATTATCTTTAATCCAAATGAATTGGATTCAAAACTGGCCAAAGACTGTACATGTTATAAACCACGATATTTTATATAAAATAATCATTTGATTTGATTAAATCATTAAATGAACGGATTCAAAATATTAAATTCATAGTAACACTTTGTAATACTTGCGTTATAAATGCATATTATTTAAATATATCTATAAAATAAAAACTAGGTGGTAGGACTCCTTTTCTACCTTCTGCCGCAGGTTAGTAATACTTGCATGTCAGTATTACTAACCCGCCTCCGAAGCGTGGTGACTGTGGCAATTATCCCCACGAGTCCGGTAATGGAATTTTAATATGCTGTAAATAATGAATGAGTCACAAATAAACTAAGTCTACCGGATGGTAATTGCCTACTGTAGCCTATGGATACCTGCAACCAACTTCAAATATAGCAGATGCTGTTAACCTGTATGGACTAAGATGGATTACCTTAAGAAGAAGATGGAAATGCCTTACAGCCTGTAAATTTACTGGCTCTCTATATTGTGCCAAAACATAGTGTATAGAAGTATTAAAGCCCCGACTTTAGAAGATATTATGTGAAAATTATTTTATTATTTTTGTTTTTCTGAAATCGGCTTTTACTTTTTCATTTTACTAATAATTTTAATTCTTTTACTCTTTTGAGTGGACTAAGGAATATCACAAACAATTGGAATGTCGATTCACAATTGACGAAGATGAATAAGAAAACACAGTCGAGTTGGGGACGTCCTCCTTTTTATGAATTTATCTTTAAAGAAATATTCATACATTAAGTTTTTAATTAGAAACAAACGCATGCCAAATAATCAAATCCACAGAATTTGTAATTAACCTATGGAGCAATGTTTTCAAAAAATATTTCATATAAAAATTTATAAATAACCCTTAGGAATTAAAAGTTCGCTACAAAGATGTTTCTTACTTCTCTACTAGCTTTAATTAGGTACTTAGACAACGATAGTTTCCTAACCAGTTGAAAATAAATAATTGACTTTTATTAAGTACTATAATCTATACATATATAGAATTAATATGCATTTTAAATAACTGACGATTATTTTTCCTTATTATATTTTTTTTCAACGGGTCAGCCATTATTTTAATATGTATAATCGATTATTTGAAATCGATTATTCAAAATCGATTATCAACATCACTAATTATCTGCCAACAATGCCATAACCAAAATATCAATGGAATGACATGAAATTGAAAGATGACATTTCATGTGGGACAGATTGTGGTGAAGGCGTAAATTAGCAAATGTAATGTTACTAAAAACCTAATTTTCTAGAAAAATAATTATGGCTACACGAGGAGAACGAGGTGTTAATAGAGTTTTAGATAAGTTAGAGGCATCAGTTAATTCAGGCCAATACTATGAAGCACATCAAATGTATAGAACATTGTATTTCAGGTAAAAAATATTATTGAACTTTGATAAATTGTGATTGAATTATGATTCAGTTGTAATATGCAGGTCGTATAATTTACAGATATTTAAGTCAAAAAAAGTATGAAGATCTACTTAATTTGCTGTATAAAGGATCAACGTTATTATTACAACGCGACCAACAAGGTAGTGGTGCAGATTTAGCAATTTTACTTATAGATGTTCTAACAAAATCAGAAACGAAACCATGTGAAGAATGGATGGAGAAAATAGCAAAGTTATTTGAACTTATGAGCTCTGGAATACCTGAACGAGAAACATACTTAACTAATGCAGTGAAATGGTCAATGGATAGCAGTAAAAAAGGACATCCTCTACTTCACAAAGTAAGTTTTTAATAACATAACCAATAATCATTTATATAAAGGGCTTACACTGTGTTGTATTGCATACATTACACAAGTGGTGTAGCAGGTGGAAGGGCAGGAGTCCACAACCTGGGCAGCTGATATAGGGGGTGGCTTTTGTGTAAAAAAAAGTCAGCTTCAGACTTTACTTTTGAATGATGTTACTGAAACTCAAAAGGTATAAGTATAAAAATACCTTATATTGTTTAATTCATTTTTAATAAATAATAGTTACATATAGATACCTATGTTGGACCCAGGCGACAACAATTCATGCTACGCTACTAAATTCTCTGCATTTGCCAATCTTCCTGCTAGTGTTGGTAATAATGGCAAATCCTTCGTACTATTGTGAAGTATGTGGCGGCTTAAGGTAATAGATCATCCCATTTCGTCTTGTAGGTGTTAAATATGTGATGGGAGATTATGGGAAAACCCCAGAAAGATCTTATGGGCTCCAATAGACCTTCCTTTAACAAATGCAAAATATCTAGATTAATAACAGGCAGGAGGATCAAAGGTGTGCCACATCAGTTACTGTGATCACCCATTCAACTGCCACTGTGTTATGGCAAAGAACAATGGGCAAATTTCTATAGGAGCTGAACTTGACTTTTATTTTTCATGTTTTGACTTTTATTTTACAAACTATAGCTAGATTGGTTTGTTTTTATGTTGTTAACACTATCCCATTTGAAACTCATATCTAAATAGCCACAATTTTTTATAATAATGTCAATAATTCTTTTGAGGTTAGCATCACATATGTAATCTTCTTCAGTGATCTAAAATAAGAATTAGATTTGTATTACGATGTATGATTGTGTATGATGGTTTATGTTAGTGTAATAAAATAAGTAGGTATGTAAATATGTACTATTATTGAAGAATTCAACTTGCGGATCTTAGAAATTACTCTGATATCAAGCTCAAAAACGAGATGGCGGCGAAGTATATCAATGCATAATATGTTACAATTAACACATCAATCGCAGGGCTAGTTGTCGTCGTTGTGTAGCTATAATCTGCATGATGTCTCTCACAAATATGCAAGATGAAAAATCGAGGTTCAGAAATCAAAAGCACGGAATAATCGTTACAAGTGGTAGTTATCAGCCCGTAAAACAATGCCGAGGTCAAAACAACAGAAGGAAATCTAAAATAGTACAGGACGTATCACAATCCACAAAAATGATGTTCCGTTGTAATTACGTAATTGAACAAAGTGCTTAGCTTACTATGAAGTTACATAATTATTTTTTATGACATGAATCCAGTATGTAATAAATCAGTATAGTAGTTAATTTGATGCCTAAATACTTATTGAATTGAATTACAATTAACAACTATTCAGAAAATCGTGAATAATTATAGTCTTTGAATACAAAGTCCTTTCATATGTGAAATGAATCATTGTTAGGTACGTTCCAGTGCGTTCAGAAACCATTATCTTAAATAATTTCGGAACAGTTACAAAAACAAAAATAAAAGGATTACTTTTTTTGTGGCTACTTAGAGAGGTATTTTTTTTTTGTTTTTAAGACCTTAAAAATAAGGATAATATTTCATAAATATGGCATATAGTGACACCATCGTTTCATCGTCTGGTACGATTTGGCCAACCTTTTTTCCCAATGGGAAAGGTCTACATCCTACTGTGGACATTTGTGGGTCGATGATGTTGGTAAACGTATGAGGAAAGTGCAAATAAACAAACTAGCAATGAGGAATCCCAAAATTATAAATGTGATGTAAATAATAAATAAATTTCCACCTTAATTTCAGAAAATAGCAGAAGTGTACTGGAAGGAAAAAAAGTATACAGCAGCACACAAACATTTCCTACACTCCAGTGATGGATCAGCATATGCTAGCATGTTGATAGAATTGCACACAACTAAAGGACTTAAATCAGAAATAGATTTATTTATAGCACAGGCTGTTTTACAATTTCTTTGCTTAAGAAACATCCAAATGGCAACTGAAACATTTAACAAATATACTGGCTCACATCCAACAATAAAAAATGAGAAAGGCCCTCCATATTTATTCCCATTACTAAACTTTTTATGGTTCTTACTCCGAGCTATTGAACAGTGAGTATATTTCTCATAATTATTGTTTATAGAAGTTGAGAAATAAGATAAGTTTATTAAGATAAATGTATACATTTATTAAGTACCCTTGCATTATTTCATAGTTTGTGAGAGAGAATCCATCACTGTATGGGATTAGATATTGCCTAGTAGACTAAGGAAGTAATAAATTGCTGCAGAACTAAGATGGAATACCTCATTACTAGTAAAAGTATTGTTGAATCTTGTCACTCATCATACAAAACAGTAGCAACATAATAACTCTGCTATTTTACACTGACAGTCAAAATATAATTAAGTCTAGAAGATTTAGTTCTGTCGCCTAATATGCAGCAATGCTTGCATTGCTGCATTTCGGCCTGAACATTATAGGAAGCCAGTATCATTACAGGCTTTGAGACATTATATATTAGTCATCAGAGGTGACAATGAAACTGTGGCCTTTTATGTTTGAAATTGGTCCATGGGCTGCAGTAGGCACTTACATCAGGTGGAATCTATGTTTGTCAATTCTGTTTTATAGAAAAAAAATTATAGGAGAGGAGGCAAATGAGCATACGGCTCACCTGATGGTAAGTGACTACCACCGGCCACGAACAACTACAACACCAAGTGAATTGCAGGTGCGTTGCAGGCCTTTTAAAAAGGAGTAAGCTCTTTTCTTGAAGGCCCTAAGTAGTAACTGTCTGGAAAAATTGCTGGTGGTAAACTATTCCTCAGAGAGGTTGTACGCGGAAGAAAACTCCTAGTAAAAAGTACAGTGGTGGACCGCCAAGCATCAGGATAGTGTTGATGGTATCGGGAGTTTTGTCGCAATGTGCGTTCGTGAAATTTGGCATCTGGGATTACAATCCGAACAATTCCTCAGAGCACTCCCCGCGGAAAATGCGATATAAAATGCAAAGGGATGCAACATCTCTTCGTAGCGCCAGTGAATCGAGCTGATTGGATAGGACTTGGTCGTCGACGATTCAAGCCACTCTGCGCTGGATGCGGTCAAATGGAAAGAGCTGACTCTGGGGAGCCCCAGCCCAGAGATAGGAACAGTATTCCATGTAAGGCCGAACCTGCTTTAAGTAAAGTTGCAGGCGGTGTGCCAGCATGAAATACTGTCCCGCTCTGCTGAGCTCGCCAAGCTTTTTAGAGGCCAATTTAACCTTCTCTTCCAAGTGACCACGAAACTGCACGTCACTCAATATGTCGACGCCGAGGATTCCGATACTGGCGGAGGCAACAAGGCGAGTGCCTTGAAACTGAGGAGATACGACAAAGGGGTTCTTTTTAGCGGTAAACGCACAAACTTGTGATTTTACTGTTATTGTACTGTTTGTAGCGGTAAACGCACAAACTTGTGATTTTACTGTTATTGTAATTGGATTAAACTGGACTAAATTTACTCGCCCCCAATCCAAGACTTTGTTCAGCAAAAACTCGACTTCAGACACAAGTTTATTCCGGTACTCGGCAACGTTTTCTGAGAAATATTGGCATGGCCGATGTATAGAGCATCACCAGTGCTGTCATTTGCATAGCAATGAATGTTTCCGGTTTGCAACATATCATTGATAAGCAGAAGAAACAGCGTTGGTGATAGCACGCACCTTGATGCTCCGATCAGCCAGAAAACTGGTGATCCAGTTGCACAATTTCTCGGGAAGCCCATAGAAAAGAAGCTTCGAAAGAAGTGCTTTGTGCCAGACTCAATCGAAGGCCTTCGCTATGTCCAAAATAAAGGCCAATGCCAAGGGTCCAAGGGTGGACTCGATCGCCTGTGCCCATCTATGTGTTAGGTAAACAAGAATATCACCAGCCGTACTGGTGTTCACTAATCAGCTGGTGCTTCTCAAGGTACCGGATGAGCTGGAAGCTGGTGTGAATTGCACATCAGGCATAGAGCACGCACACTGCGGAATGGTCTGCGGTGTATTTCCCCTGTCATCGAGAGTCGAGTTGGACACAAAAAGGGAATCTAAAAGGTTGGCTTTCTCTTTTGCGGCGTGGGCCAGTGAGCTGTCCTGCCTTTGCAGAGATAGTAGTGATGGCTTACAGAAATTCCCTTGAACAGCCTTGGGAGAGCACAGAATGCACAGATTCCTGAGGGAAGGCAAACTAATTTCTCGCCACTTTTGCCAATGTGCTCATACTTTGCCTTAGCAATAACTCTTTTGAAGGACCTGGAGATGGAGTTATACTTCTTTTTAAGCATGCTGGTGTTTACCGAAGCGTCAGCCCAGGCCTGATATGCTCCTGCTTATTCCGTAATGCAGTTTTACAGGAGCAAAGAAACCAAGGCTGAGATCTGCCTCCGATGGGTACCACAGACGAAGGAATAAATAGTTTCATTCCCTGTAGCACCACATCAGTGACAGAGTCAGCAACAGCGCTAGGATCATCCTGCGAGAAGCAAACTCGCCCCCATGGGTAGGATGCAAAGAAAGACCGCATTCCGTTGTGTCAGACCATATGCCAAGGCAAAGTCATAAACGGATCTCTCCGCATGACCGGTTAAATGTGAAATATGTTAGCCATCCTCAATGTCTATTAGCAAAACTTATTAATTTAATGATTTCTTAAAACAATACGAGGATAAAGATATAATAGGTGGATTTAGGAATTTGGAAAAGATAGACCATAGGGTTCGGACTCCCATTATTACCCCGTTATAACATACAATAATTAAACTCTTAAGATACCCATTAAAAGACAGGAAAATATAATTTTTATGACAACCCCACATTACATTATGCCTATTGGAAGGCCCCAACTACAATATAAGAAGGTGAGATACTAGATAAAATGAGGTTAAGCTCTGTAAATTTTCAGCTATCGCATTGATACTCTATGTATAGGGAGAGATATTGAGGAAGAACTAAAAGTTCTATTTAAAAGAATCATAGTACTGCCGAATATTCCTCATTTCAAGTTAATTAGTGGTTATTTTATTTATTTAATCAATTTATGACTAGGATAATAGTTTGAAACTATTCATTTAATATATTTTAAAAATATAATTTTAGACCATTTTAACAATTGTATCCTTGTAAGTTACACTCGGCTTAAATTTTGAATTATTATTTTATTTTCTAATTTGTTACACAATCAGAGTAGCCACCACTGAATTTGATAAGTGCTATTAAAAATGTTGGGTTACAACATTCTCAGCGATAACGAAAAACATTGTAGAGAAACCTTGTCCAGCAAATCAAATATGATATGTGAAGTCTGCCAACATGCACTGGAGCAGCATGGCTAAGTAACTACTCCAAACCTCAAAAATGAGGGAAGGCCTATGTCCAAAAGGGAGTTGGTATTTAGGGTGTAACTATATGGTATTTTTGTCAGTACTTACCCATGCTCTATATAAAGCAAATGTGATTGGCAGTCAGCTGAGATACATTGTCAGTAATCCAGGGACCTTCACATTGCACCCAGCTTTGTTTTTTAGATAAAATATAATAGAAAAGTTGCATTAAATTGCTGTTTTTTTGTGTTCAAAAATTGTTGAATAAAATTACATTCAAGATTCATGTACTCTAATTTTAGTTAGTTGAAATAAAATGCTTCCGATTTTCAGGAAACATGCAAGCCAATTCAAAATACTAAGAAACTGGTATGCAATAAGCATAAAGCGAGACCCAAATTATTCAGTATATTTGGACAATATTGGGCGCATTTGGTTTGGCATTGAAATACCACACGATACAAGGAACCCAAATTCTGTATTTGGTGGATTACTAAAATCAATCATTGGGGACCTTGACAGCTCTGATGAAGATGGTGACTACACTGGACGAAATACTACAGCACCGGATTTAGATTAGAAATACAGATATATTTCATAGCACATATCAGCTTTTGCTATGTCTCCATTAAAATATATTCTATAAATATATTAAGATGTAGTTGTTAATTTAGTGCAAAGAATTTTTGTTAAAAAAATTTACAAAATAAGCACAATTATGATAACATTTTCCAGAAACATCCACTGTTGGGCATAAGTATTTCTCATATTGGGACTATTTACCATAATCTCCATGACTAACACTCAAATTGGCAATGCTCTACTTTTGGGTGTCCTAAGCAATTAATTTTATCTGTTATATTCCTTAGTTATGTGAATTATAGGATGTAATGGGATTATGAATTCTCTCATGCTGTCAATCTGTCACCACATAAGTAACATACTAATTACATGAATACATTATTCTTATTTATTAATTTTACTTATTTTTTTTTGTTTCCCTAATGAGTGTGTTAGTACTAGTGCAAATAAGTTTTTAAAAACGTTATTGGATTATATTGTAACATATAAACTGTGGAATAGACAAAAGAACTGTCCTGGTATTGATTCATCATATTATATACAACTTTTCCTGAATATTTTTATCAAACTGTATAATATATTATATTTTTCCCTGCTTGAATACATATTGTCTGAGTTACTGTTTCATTTCCCTACTTTAAATACTAAATATTAATGTTAAATTAAGTCATCCTGAGCATAACATTACATTTAAATATTTAATCTGTTATTTGATGTGAAAAAAAATAACAAAATATAATTTATTTACCAATTAGACCTGGAATACTGTTATCATCTCTTGGCTGGATCACCCCAGTTCTGAATCCTTCTATTTAACTACACTCAATGAAGAGCGGCTCGAATTGTCAACGACCAAGCACTCTTTGATTGGCTTGTCTAAACTTATCTAACGAAGAAGTATAAGATCAACTGAATATTTTATCATTTTTACGATGGGAAGTAAATGAGGAATTGTTTGGATTAATTTAGACACCATGCACTACTGCAACACAATTCTAAATTCCACCTAAACCACAACTTTTACATTTTCCGTAAAACTCAGTTAAAATACTGAACAGCCTAAGTGGACAATGTGCTCTTACTTGTTTTACTTTATTGGTTGTACATATAAGGTTTTTGTATAAATTTGAAATTTCATTTTATTAGGGATTACAGTCTAGCTAATATAATGTTGCAATTTAAATGTTGTATTAAATTAATAAAATATTTTAAAATAAAAAAGCTGCATTAAATTAATATAATATGAAGAAGTCATATTGGTGTGTAATACTTTACATATCATTATGCATAAACCCTATTATCTTTTGCTAATCCTAATATCCTATGTTTTATCTTTTGTGTTTAACTTGATATAATTGGATATTATGGTATAAAATAAAAATCAAACGACTTACAATACTCAATAATTTTTGTGTAAATTTTAAGTGGGCATATAGCTACTATGACAATGTTTGGAGCCATAGACTTAGGATATACTGGCATATAGACCAACATAGTGTGCAAGGGAGAAGAAAATTCCTTATGGCAAAAATGCAAGATAGAAAAGGATACCAAATCTCTTGACTCTGTAACCGATTTTGAATGACAGGTCGGCGCAAGTCGGCGCGCAAGAAATAAGCTTGTAGATATTTTGTGTGTTTTTAGATTATAATAGTGTTAATTTGTATAATTTATAGTTTCCCAAAATGGTTTCATGTTCCGTTAGTGACTGTGGTATCAACAATAGAATTAATCCTGATGGTTGCACATTTCACAGGTAAATTAGCAAGACGTCGCCAATAATAAGACACGTCTATTTTTGCTTAAAATTTATGTTATATACTGTTTAAAATATATAATATTTTCAATTATTTTATTAATTTTGATATTTTGCAAAGAAGAAAGTCACTTTGTTGATAATTTGTATGATTTTGGTGAATTCATTTTTAAACAAAATATTTTACATTTACGCTAGGGATTGACTCAACTATATCAAAATTAATGTCGATATTTATCTTTAATGTGTATAAAGAATCGATAGACGTATACACAACAAAAAGAAGAATAAAATTAAATGCTTGATTTGCGTTCTAAAAATAAAATTTTATTTTGCCGTTTGTCACACAGATTACCTCTGGATCCTTTAGTTAGAAAAAAATGGTAGGCATCAATTGGACTGGTTGGTTGAAATCCTAAGAAGAACTCTACATTTTGTAGTAAACATTATTTTTATACATTATAAAACTCTATCTCTATTATTATATATTTTCCCCAAGGGGTTGTGCGGAGCTTTGGAATATATTCCTAAGTCACAATGATAAAACTTTTAGCGTAGTTAGGTATGGTTATTGAGTAATGCTTCTGAAGCGCCACTAGATGCCAAGAGGCGCGCGATTTAGTGTAACAGAATAGGTAGTATAAATTCCATAGTATTTGATACGCGCAACGCTTGATGTCCGATTCGTGCTTGATGCTCGATGACAGTGTGCCGAGGGCTTGATAGTGTGGTTCATTACATACAGCGTCAATCGTAGAGAAGAGGAACTCGTAGTTAAGTAGCGGTTGCGTAGATCAATTGATCTGCAAGATAAAGGTGCACTTGCTGCGGTCGGTCCATGTGTGTTGACCGTTTTCTTAACATACTGCGATTGAGAGAATAGAAGAGTGCATCTGTATCCTCGGACACTTGGTGCACTTTAATGTCTCCAGCGTATTTGACATGTCTATGTTAAGATCAATATATTTTTTAAATACATGCAGCTAAAATGATAATAAATTTATTATTATTTTATATTTTTCAGGGACAGATGAAAGAAAGAGTTGCCTCATCATATGTCACTCGTGACATAACCCTTCCACCTTTGAAATCACAAGAAAGAAGTGTTCAATTTACACCAAGAAAAAAAAACTTTTCTCAAAAATCGAGAAATTAAAACAATATCTGAAAGAAAAACAAAAGAAAATACGTAGCTTAGCAGCAAAAACTAAAAGACAGGCTAAAAAAATTGTTACATTGCAAAACGTGCTTGAAGAAATTCATTCAAGACCAGGATTGAAAGATCACTATAGCGATATCACCATGGCATATAGCAATGAATTGATACAGAATTTAATTAACAGGGTCAATAATAAAAAATGTGGTAAAATAGTGTCTACATCCAAATATAACGAAGAATTACGAAAATTTGCTGTCACAATACATTTCTAAAGTCCAAGAACATATAATTATTTACATGAAAAATTTTATTTGTGTTTTCCACACGTTAACACATTGCGTACCTGGTATGCCAGACTAGACTGTGAACCTGGTTTAACTCAATAATATTTAAACACCATTAGAGAAATGAGAAAAAAGAAGCCTGATCTGAAACTATGTCTCACTTTTGATGAAATGAGTATACGTGAATACACTGAATAGGTAGGCCAGAAGCATTATATTTGTCAACGATTTGGCTATAGATGGTGTAGAAAATAGCGAACCAGGTTTTAGTTTTTATAGTGGTGGCATTAAATGCGTTTTGGAAAATTCCAGTAGGATACCTTCCGTGTAGGGGATCTACGCCCTCACAAAAAGCAAATCTTTTACAAATATGTCTGGATTTATTACACCTTACGGAATGTGAAGTCATTTCCATTACATTTGATGGCATTGCTTCAAATCTAAACATGATCCAGCTTTTAGGTACCGATTTTTCTTTGGGGTCTAATTTTAAATTACATTTTGTTCATAAAGGTTGAAAATATTTTTAGATGCATGTCATTTATTAAACATGATTCGCAACTTTTTCGGCGAAAAAAGAGTTCTCATCGATGGATCGTTTAAAAAAAATTGATTTTGGTTACATAGAAGCTCTTTACCAATTACAGAAAAGCCTTCACTTAGCGAACAAATTAAGCTTCCGTCATATCAATTACGTTAAACAAAAAATGAAGGTTAAACTAGCATCACAGTTACTATCACGTTCAGTAGCAACAGCAATAGAGTATTGTGAACAGGATTTAAAATTACCACAATTCCAGAATTCGAAGGCTACTGTCACATTTATTACACACGTTAATGACTTATTTGACATGTTTAATTCAAGATTTTTTTGAATTATGGCTAATAAAAACCCCTTTACAAAAAAAAATAGGGATGACATTTTTAATAAGTGGGACGAAATATATGATTATTTTTGTAACCTTTAATTTGAAAATGGTTCCTTAATAATTTATTCGCCAAGAAAAGTGCGGCTACTGGGGTTTTTAATAAACAAGGTCGCTAAAATGGCTTTACCTTGATTTTATAGAAAAATGTGCATTGAAATTTATCCCTTTTTATAAAATGTCTCAGGACCACCTTAAAAGGTTTTTCAGCGCTGTTAGATCTCGTAGTGGATTTAATAATCCGACGCTTAGAAATTTTATGTCAGCTTACAAACGTTTGCTTTGCTTTGCAACAAACAAAATAACTCTTCCGCTTTATTATATTAGTATAGATTAAATGATTTTGTTTTATTGTTTCTGTTTCAGATTCTGTTTTATAAATATTAAAGGTAATAATTATTTATTATATAAAAAATAAAGGAGCCATTATATACTCCGTGTTCTCGTTTTTTATTTTACCAGCAAAACATTTTATAAAATATAAATAGGTAGATACTTAATTATAAGTATCTACCTATTTTTATTTGATTAACATAAACATTATGTTGAAAAAGAAATAAATTCCGGGGAAATTGTACATGGCATTAAATATTTTTCTCCAAAGGTCAAAAATATAACTTTCCAATCTGATTCTTGGAGAAAATTGTTTCATTTTATCGGTAGACTTAACTCGCCTCTTCAGATATTATTGCAATTTTGTACATTTTGAATCCAAAGTCCAACAAAAGGCAAGTGGTGCCGGTGAAAGAATTTCCACTTCCCAATATCGTCCCATGTGTGTCATGAAAGGCGACAAAGGGAATCTGAAAGAGGCGATGGGCAGCAGCATCTTCCTGATAACAACTCGAAATAATAAACTGTGGCTGACAACCC